GGTTACTTATGCAATCGTTGACTCTGGTTTGAGATCGTTGACAGTTGCTCTCTCCTCGGGATAGTTTATCTTCGCAGTATTTCATAAACATATGTCAGTTAGTTTCAGTAAACAAACAGTGTTTAGAACAAGTATCCCGTAACAAAAATTGAAGCTTATGTCAAATTAGTGCACAAACTAAGTTTTGCTTCAAAAGGTACCGGTTGTTAAGGTTATGTGGAATTTTTTCAGCGTAAAGTACTTATTAGCAATATGTGGAGATAAAGCTGTATTCACGAAATGATAACGCAATCGTTTATCCTCTAAGAAAACTATTTCAGTTTGATTTTTGTTGATATTGCTGAGGAGCGTTACAAGAGGAACTACGCGCGTAAAGAACGCGACTCCACGCGCGTCTTCCCCGCGAGGGTTAACATCATTAAAATTGACATTTCCATTATTTGGTTCTCTCCACAGAGCAGTCAAACAAGTGGATATAGTGAATCCAAAGAAGCAGATTAAAAATAAACGCTATTCAAACTCTGGGATTCTTCGTATTCTACACTGCTACGTGGATAAACAATTTAGTCTTATTGATTACGTCAGAGGAAATTGCATCATCAGAATGGTATGCGCCATTGATTTCACCATTTCCAACGGTCCGCCTTTGACCCAGGATTCCCTGCATACGATGGACGAGGAGAAGGTGAGAAGATGACGCTTGTAAGGGGATTCATAGTAACTCCTAAGTTAAGGATTGTGCATCAAAGGTAGATGCTTTTTTTTGGTGACGAGCAGAACGTAAAGTGTTACGAATGGTATTGTTTGTCTTCCTATCAAAATAATGGCACTTTGGGTTTATGCGATATGCATACAGTGTTTATGTCTTTCTTGCCGAGAAAGTGAGAGTTCTCGATATTTACCGAATCTTATCAAACATCTTTTTCCATGATCGAGAGAATAGACATGATTTCCTAAGAAGGAAGTCCTATACTGGAATCTTAAGAACATGCCACGTTGTTGTTGCTATCGTGCGTAATCACTTTTTTTCCTGATAGTGATTGAAATGTGCCCTTTGCCTTCCAATTCCACTTAGCTATTGCTTTGATTACTTATCCCGGATATTTTTTAAATGAGTAATCAGTCCCTGTTGTGGCTCCAAAGATTGCCATAATAAAGCCACTCTGTGCTGTGTAAGAGTACTCTGTGGTACTTTTCCATGGTTTCTTTGCCGCCCATACCTTAGAGAAAAACTTCTCCGGGTTCTCTTACGAGTAAAAAATGGCACACTACCACTGAGTGTCTATCGTTAGCCTGTGGCTCTTTTGAACCAGACTTACAGTTTTGTGTGCCCTAAGTGAAAAGTGGCTAGAGCAGGAGAGGAGAGAAACCACTGGCAGTCTTTATAAATCTTTCTTCTGTCCCAAGTCTCACGTGCGTTAGCTGCTCATTATTGCTTTAGTGTGCACAAACCCGCCAGCCACGCAAGCCAGTCTCTTGCCCTCTTTTTCGCTCGTCTCCACTGACTAAGGGTGGGGACCTTTGCCCAAATGAGGATGGATCAGTAAATATTTCGTAATGACATAAGATTTCAATATGTGGTTCATTTAGAATGAGTATTCTCAGACCTTGAAGTCAATAGGGAAGGTTTTATCAAGCTTCGAGAAAGATAAGAAAATTGCAGCGTATGGATTTGGAGCCCAGGCCTGCTCAACAGGAGCACTACCTTATATGTTTGCTCTTGATAGTGAAACAGGAAAACCTGAGCTGGAGAATGTAGAGGTACTAATATGAATTTTTACTGTTCGGTTTCTCATTATACTCGTTACAGCCTCATTCATTCAGTCAGTCAGCTAGTTAATTACTCAGTCATTCCGTCCGTCCATCAGTCTTTCAGTTGATTTACTCCTTAATTCGTGTGTGATGTCTAGTCAGTCAGTTACTCTGTCGTTCACTTAGTCAATCTGGCAGTTGGGCGGTCAGACCATCAGTCATTCATTCAGTCAGCCATCAGTCAGTCATTGAGTCCGCCAGTCAATCAGTCAGCCTATATATCAATCAGTGCAGTCAAGGCGGCCAGTCAGTTTACCGGTAACCAGGAAGGTGAGTGAGTCAGTCAATTAGTCACTGACTGATCAGCCAGTCAACAGTCAGTCATTCCCTCGCCCAAAACGTCAGTCAATAAATGTGTCAGTGAGAGAATCATTTAGCTTATCAGCTCAGTCATCCAACCAGTCAGTCAGCCAGATAGGATTTCAGATTGTACCTGTACCAATATCAACATACACATTAATCACGGAGTTATCTCTCTTCCTTGTGTCAGGCTGTTGTTGACGCCTACTGGAAAAGACTGGAAGACGTCAAGTTGGGCGGACCCACCCATCTTGCGCCCATCATCCAAGGGATAGCGGCATACGCCGAGAAAGAAGTATCCCAGTGTTCTCAGCATTACACAATAGGACTTGTTATTGTTGACGGCATCGTCAATGACGTAGACCATTTGATAGACGTGTTAGTTGATGTGGAACGGTCGCCTCTCTCTATAGTTGTTGTAGGCGTTGGGCCCGCAGACTTTAGATTAATGGTAAGAATTTCTACCAGATTATTCTTTCATCTTGTAAGAGTTTTCTTGGGAAAAATTTTGAATACTGCTTATAGGAGTGTGACTAGCTTCATTCAAAGAGATGAACTGCTAAAGAGAGCAAAAAGAAGGCGTTCAGAATGAGGTCAATGAGAAGTATGGTCGGAAGTTTGTCTTTACTGTTGATGACTCTTCTATATTCTTCCTTTTATCATTAGAATGAACTTTTTTCAAGAAATAGAAGACAGCTAAGATCTAAAGGAGGAAAGACAGCGAGTCGCATAAACACGGACTTTTTGTCTCTAAGAAGACACGCTGCAAATCCAGGAGTCAATGATTCAATGGTAAGACCTCTTTCATTTGAAGGGTTTGCGATGTTTTAGCACAACGCACTATAGCTATATCGAAAACGTGAGTGTCTAAGGTAAAGAGAGCGACATCAAAAATCAAGTAATGGATAGCTTAGAAAGAGTCTGAAGATAAGAGAGTAATGAAAAGAAATCATTAGCTCTGGTTAGTCTGATGTTTCAAAAGGCTGCTCGAGTTCTTATTTGATCTAACTTAAACGGAAAACAGTTGTCTACAATTAAAGAGGTGCAGTCTTTCGTAAACGTCACTTTGGTTCAAGATGTTGAAGTAAAAAGCAAAGATGAATCGAGACGCCAACTTTGAAGGACATGAAGGTAAAAATTAAGTGCGCATTAAGTGTGCGTAAATTTTGAGTAAGGGGAAGAAAATTATTTGAAAAATCAGTTCCAGTGATTTTATCTCTATTATGATGGGTTTATCAAGAAAAATCGTTGTTTGCTTTTGATATCGTCTCTGAATTTCGTTTTTCAGGCGCGAGATGTATTTGCAAACATTTCACAACAAATTGTGACATTTTTCAAGTCCAAAGGGATAGTTCCCAACCTTCCAACGAAAATGAACGTTATGGAACCATTTGACGACTGTAATAATTTATCCGACGCGTCATCAAGACCTTCCTCACCACGCGTGCGTAAGATTTCACCACACATCGCTGCCAGATGTCCGACTTGTGGCTCTGTGATTGACCGCGACCCATTCAACATGCTCTCACTGTAGTAAATTTTGACGATCTTAAGGGCTTTTCAAAGATGCCCCTGAAGAACTGAAGACGTTTAATAAGACACGCTTAAAACCTTGATTTCCTTCACGATCTTTGTTCATGGCGTTGTTAAGTGATCATTTCCTTTTCGTGGTACTCTACTCTGTCAAAAGGCCAGATCCGCTCTATTCAAGGCTCTTTTCATTGTTCAATCATTGTTCTTGCTTTAATTTAATCCAATTAATAGGTTTTCATCTTCTGTTTTTTAGAAATTTCTTGTGCAAAAAAAATTATCTTTTATTTTTAAAGTCGATTTAAAAGCAATAAAATTTAATTTATTTATTAATTTAATTCGCAATAGCCTGATATACTAAATTTTAAATGAATTATCAGTTACTTACGTTACTGCGGAACGAGATCAGACTTGGGGCGAGTTGTTAAAAGGGAGGATAGCGCTATCCAACGAATAAACAGCCATCCAGCGGATAAGAGTTATTAAAACGTACTAGATAGATGGAGATTTATCAGGTGAATAGCGTTATCCATCCTTCGCACAGCCGGAGCCAGCTGCTTTTGACACCTAAAGGAAAAGTGACGGTAATAACATCGTCGTCATCATCAAAATAAAAACAATAGCGTGCCGCACTTTACTCACTAAAACTTTAGGTTAAAAAAAAAACAACAACAACAACAATAACAAAGTTTTATAACGTCTACTGGTAATTCCATACGTACTTGAATATCAATTGACTTCTGGTAAAAAAAGTTCAAAACTTGCTGAAAAACTGTGTTACTACGATTGTTTTAAGATTTCCCATCAGAAATAGAAAACGGCAAATTACACACTCGTGAACATGCTATCAGTTTCTAAAATACTCTGGATTGGACCAACGCCTAATGAGTGTTAGAGATATACTTAATTGTCCTCTCTGTCGGAGTTTAGTGCTGTTGAGCGCTCCGAGCACAGGGAAGTTGTACCCAATAGTCACCTCAAGACACAAGGGCATCCTTTTTTCTGAGTGATTCATGAAATGAATTTCGAATGCCAGGACTTCTGGTCGGATAATTCGATTGACTAGCGTATGGATAACACCTACTACCTTGCACCGAATTGTAATTAATCAACAGAGGCGGTACATAGGATGCGTGCTCGCCGAGCCCGCATAATAAATGGTTTCTGTTAGATTACGTATTGTGTTTAAAATAACTACGAAGCCAACACTCAGGTGACGCCGAAATCTGTTTAAGAAATAAGAACGAAAAAGCACACCAAACTCTCTCAAAGAAGAAACCTTTCCAGATATCGCGAGACGATATCATGTGACGTTCTCGCGTGCGATTTCTTCGGCGGTTATGCGTAACTCGCAGTTGCCCAATGTTTACACTTTGTCTTACAGTGTAAACATTACAGTTAAACATGTTCAAGAGGAAGTTATAATCGAGGATGAAGTTTAGGGAGAAATAGCGTCAAGCGTGACTATAAAGGACAAAAAAAAAATGATCAATATTCTGTGACATATTTTTGGTAGAGCAAAGGAATATTGCACAGGAATCACATTAAACGGTCAACCACTACCTAGCAGCCCTTGGTGTGTCCAAGGGCCTCCACACTGGTATGAGTCAGCCTACCAGTTCGGGTACCAGAGGTTCAATCAAGTATGGCAGTCAGTAATGTCACCGAGGCTGTTACAGTTACAGACTCTAACCGTTATGGAGTACAGCTCTTCAGTTCTAATGGAAAATTAATCAAAGAGTATGACTTTGAAAAACATAACGACAAACCCACTTCAGTAACTTTTACAGTGTTCAACAATGACGGTGATTTCTTCTAAGATATTGGCTCTAAAAGATCCAGCGATGAGCAAACTAAAAAACTCTACTGATCTTGCTATTGACAAGTACAACAACCTAATAGTTCGCGACAACGGCGAAAAAGAAAAGTTTTCACTTTGGATGGAGGATTTCTCAATTTGGTAGGGTAAGATAATAATAGACCCCCATCATCAGTTGCTACATCTTGTAATGGTCTGTAATTGTCTCAAAGGACAATGTCGAAGTCTTTACACGTAGGCTACCTGGCTAGGGGGAATGGGAAGACATGAAGAAGTCAAATTTGAGGACTTTCGGGATTCAGTTGTTGCCCAACTGAGAACACTTTACAAATATATCAAACTCCCTTCCCCCCCCTCTGAGGAGGGAAAGTTTCAATGGGGGTTGCACTGAATCTAGGTCAAGAACCAATCTCGGAAATTACATGGTACCCTATATTATGTAAAAGAAAACAGTTTTAACGTTTTCTTCCATGACAATCCTCCTGCAATCAATGAGTGCTGTGATAATAAAAGAACTCTGATGTGGAACGTGATGGTTAAAGAAATCGCACTATTCTTGGAGGTAAAATTAAGAACTTAAA